ACTGAGTGTATGAGAAAGGGTTGTGCGGATTCAGTAAGTTGGCTAATTCCGTTCTACGTATTCCCTACTGTCGGTGCACTTGTCCCAGCAGCGGGAGTCTTTTACCGGGCATTTTTCACAATGGTGCTTCCCCGCATCGTTGGGTACCATGTCCAGTACTCCCAGTCGTCCAGTCCGACGGCGCTAGCCCTGGGTTTTCTCTCACTGATACCACATTACCCTATCTTGTTTATATAATTTTTTCAACTTTTAATTTTAATTTTAACTTGTTGTGGTATCATACTAGTCTGCTTCTTAGCCGGGTGCATTGGCCATCATAGCTGACTGCCATCGCCCGGCCCAGCCCGTCCAAAGACGAGATATTACGGACTGGACGACTGGGAGCGCTGACCATGTCCAAGCTGAAAAGAAAAAAAAAGGCCTTTGGACGATTGTGGTGAGACTGTATGATATAAAGTGCACCCCATCCCTAACCGCTTGCATTGAAGCGTTCGTGCCATCGCCGTGCCAACACCAGGTGGAGAAAGTCAAGACGGTAGCAAGTTTAATCACGAGACGTCACTCGATAGGGGAAATGTGCGTACCATCTCCAAAGATAATGCTTTAAGATACTCGCACTTGTGTTTGCCGGCGGAAACATGTTCATATCATACCCACTGCACTCGAGTATGGGCGGTACTGCTGCCCATGCCCGGATACTTTTCCTGGAGGGTTTATCATACGGGGGGGCAAAGTTTAGGCGGCTAATTCAGCAACAAACCCAAAGTCAATGTTTTTTTGCTTTTTTTTTTTTGCTTTTCCAACCTCTTTTTTCCTCGGCTTGAAGGTTGTTGGAGTACTCGTACAGTACTCGTACAATACAGCACGGGCTGTGATTATCCCCTTTGATTATAATTCGCGTAAGCGGAAATCAAAATACGATATTGCATTCGCCCCAGTGTCAAAAGTGCCCGAAAACAAGGGGGGGGGGGCACTCGAGTATGTAAAGTACAGTACGAGTATCATACAGGAGGGTATATTCTCTACTCGAATAGGAACTAGGAGGCACTCAGATTTTCCCCATGTATTTCTTTAACCCCTGTTTTCGGATACATTTGGCGTGGGCCTTACCCCTACGAACCCCCCCCCCTCTCAACCAACCAATATAATATTCCATCCGTCCAAGCTAAAATATTGGGCCGACCCATTTGTAATCTCAAGAGTTTTACCGACACGGCATTCAAAAGAAGTTACTCGTACAGTACGAGTACCGAATACCCCGCGTGAGATATTTCACTCCCTGCCAGAGCGGTGTGCAAGGAAGTGTGTGAGGGGGTGAAAAAGGGGGATGGATGGTGGTGGTGGGATTAGGTTATTTATATATGACTGAAACATGATAAGATATTGTCACCGCTTTTGGTTATGTATGATATGATACTTGTATCTATGCTGCCGTGCTCCTACATAGTCGAGTACCGTACCCATATGGAGGTCGGGAGTCAGCGATGAGCAGCCACATACTGCATTCGTAGGGGCTGGCACATGTAGAACATGTTTCACAAGGGGAATGGGGATAACAAGGTTGTACAAGAGTTGCGCTATTACTCTCAGGTTGTTTTTATTTTTTATTTTTTATTTTTTTGCCAAAGGCGGCATTGCACTGTACTCGAGTACGAGTACAAGTACAGTACTCGTGCAGTACTAGTGCAGTACCGCTACTGCACAGTGCGGGAGGTATGGTATTACGGTACACAATCTACACAGTGGAAATGGAAGAAGAAAAAATCAAAAAACTTGAATTTGCGGAAAAACTGAATAGAGCAAAACCTAAAAATGTTTATCCAACCTTAGGAGAAAGAAACCTTAGGAGAAAGAAAGAAAAAGAAAATAACCCCAAGAAACCAAACTACCGCTGCATGTAAAAACCATGGACCGGATGAAAAGGATAAAAATAAAAAAAAACTCATGACTAGATTTTGTCATGAAAACAGAAGCAAAAGTTTATTTGTGGAGAAAGAAAGATAGAAAAAAATAAAAAATAAAAATAAAAATACCACCCTCCATATTACCATTGCCCGAGATTTCAATACCAACTTATACACGCCAGTACCTCACTCGCCCAACGGGAACCCGGATGACCTCTGATTCGCGCTCCGGGCACTCGTAAGATCTGTGGCCACGACGGTTGCAGTAGGAGCAATCGTGGTATCTAGTTTCATGAGCGTGATATCTCGTATGGGTATGGGTGATGGACAGTCTGCCGTCGGAATGGCGGGGGTTTGAGTGCTCTGGCGCGAGCAACAACCCATCGCTGGAGGCAAGTCTACTCAGGGAACTCGATCGGCGCTGGAGATACTGGCGCGAGATCCTCTGTCTCGCCGCCTCCTCCCTATGCTCCACCGAGATCTCGGTAGACCTCGATTTCCTATGCTCTCCCCCAGACCTCAACTGGCGCCTTGCCTCTCGCGCCTCGTAAATACCTTCAATCTCTCTTTGATACCTTGCGCTCGCCTCCTTACTCCTCGCCCTCCGTTCCTCCTCCAACGAGCCCTCGAGCACAGCCACCTGATTCCTCCACATGTTCTCTGTCGCCATCTTCTCTGCGATATCGGAAGCGGCTTGGCCGATGTTGATGTTTAGTATTGCCGGCCTTGGCTCTGGATCCTGCTCTTGTGGCGCCGCAAGAATAACTTGCGTTTCTGGGTAGGGCGTGTATTGGGTTACCGACGGTGGGTAGGAGGGTGGTGGAGGTGGTGGGGGAGAGCAGATCACCACCCTGGGGTTGGGGGTTGGAGTCCGGTTTCTCTCAATGGTGATCTGGCTGTGGCGGGCGCTCATTCCCGGTTCGACGTCGACCTGGAATTTGGTGAAGGAAAGAGGCATTGCAAAGTTTTGTTTGTTTGGAAGCCCTTGGCTTTGTGCTGGTGTGGATGGGGTGGGTGGATGATGGATGAAGGTTTGGTGAGTGAGAGGGTGATCGATGGACGAAAGGTGTTTGCGATGGATATCAGAAGGGAGAATGGGGGGGGGGAGGGGAGATGTCGTGTGTTTATATATCGTTGGGGGGGTTTTTTTCCTTCTTTTCTTTTCTTGCTGGTGAGAGAAAAGGCTATCCGTGTGACGGATGTAGTCGGGTGATGCTGGCTAGGAGGAAAAGTATGCTATTTATCGATGTGATTTCTTTTGACGTGCGAACTGTGCGTCCCTGGTCTGGCGGTAGAGTAATAATGGAAGCGTAGTGAACATATCAAAGGCGATTGCGTACTAGGGCTCCAGGACTTTATAGGCCGCGACAGGTTGGATCGTGCACGCTACCTACCGCACATCTTCTCAACCTTGACCAGCATAGGCTAGAGGCTGTGTTCCGCTCATTCCCCCAACATACAAGGGGAAAGGAGGGAGGGCAGGTGTGCTGCATCCCGTAGCACAAGAAAGAGCCATGTGTGTTTGCGGTTGTTGCAAAATGGCAGCCCAAAGAATGGGCGAAGCAGCGCAAACCCAAAAGCACAATCTGCGAGATGCATATTGGCACGGTAGCGTAGACGCCAGATTTTCTCGAGGACGGCGAGTGGTCAGCCATAGATGCCAGTACGAGTAATATGCCCCTTATGCAAGGGGAGAGTACCTGATAGGGTGGCGACCCCGTTCCTCACCCTTATCCCGCCCACAGACAAACATTACCGGTAGGCCATGTTCTTACGGTATGGGTGGAGCTCGTAAGGGCATACGCTACGGTATGATACCGTAGCCAAGAGCCTCATGGAGAGAGGCCGTTCAAAATATTGGTCGCGTGGGATTTTTGTTCCAAATTTTGACCCTAGTGACCGAGTGAAGGAGTCATACACTTCATCACGCCGACCGGGCGACCATCGGTCTCTTCTTCAGCAACGTGTTCCCCTTTGATGAAAGCAAGGCCCAGAATAATGATGATAACGATGATAATCCAATAAGTCAAAGCTGTTGTTTGATTTGTCCTCTTCGGGAGGCGCCGGGAATACTCGAGTATGATATTTACCGGTACAGTACCAGACCGTGGTAGTGGAAGGATGTTGGAGTGCAAAACACTCACACACATATGCAAGTTAATTTAGCGAGACCATCAGCCAAACCAAGACAACTCTTCAGCTCCTTCATGAAGAAAAGCACAAAAAAGCCTCCAACCAATCTAATACATCTACGCCCCCACAACGAAAAGCTGCTAAGCCCACTTGGTTCAGTAGAGTACCGAATACCGTAAATTACTGTAACCGGCACAGTTCCCTCTCACCATCAGGCAGAGAGAAATGACGAAATGTCCCACACTTCCCCAGCCCCGATAAGGGATTTCATGCGCGTGTTTGCGGAAGATGCGGGGTGGGGAGGGTAAGCTCGGCTAGTCACACTTTGGAGAGAGAGAGACCCCCTCCCCGACTTTACGGTACCCGCGCTATATGGTGACGGACCGTACGATATAGTAGGGCAGGGTCAGCCATTCTAGAAGTTTGCGGAAACGCCGACCCTTCAGCACTCGTACCGTAGAGCTCAGCCCTCGCCAATAGGATGGGAAGATAGAGCCCATTGAATTAGTAGGTAAAACCGATAATGTTCCAAAGGAAGACTCTGGCACTCTATGCCTTCGTCACGGTATCCCCGGACCTCGATGGGTCCTGTATAGAGCGGTAGAGATGGTTTTCCACCTGACTTGAACGGTCGCATCAAGCGCGAGCTTAGAAGCAAGGGGTGCGTTCCCGAGAAAGAAAGAAAAATCTCCTTCGGAAAAAAAAAAAAAATCACACTGCAGCAACCGCTACAAGCGCGCCATCCGCCTTTGTTCCATTGGCTCAAACGATTCCCCTCTCCCCCCGATAGATCTATTTTACAAGCGCCGCTATATCAGTAATTCCTCGCGGGATGACACTGCAATCCGACGTTCTAGATTTCGACCCTTGGTCCTCTGGGAAATTAGGTCAGGAGGGGAGAAAAGGTGTCGAAACTTTTTTCACGGCAATCCGGATCCAATCGTTGCTATGTATAGCTCAGCAGCCCGGCCTGCTTTCTTCGGGGTAAAGGATTACTGAAAAAGCACATAGCACTCGGCCCGCCCACCGCCGGCGAGAAGGATTGATATCTACTCCTTCTCGGGAGAATGATTAGTGGAAGGCATGATTTGATATCTATTTTATTTTTTTCCCATTCGAGTCTTTTTTCTTTCTCACCTTACGACACTCCACACGCACACTTCGCGCTTGGCGTTGATGATGATTCGCGCCTGGCGATGAAGTCAGGGATAAGCAACAGGGGGAAGGAGGAGAACAGCAACATGCCACGCTAATTAAGGCACTGTTTCATATGTACGATATTTACGATGAGCATGCGAAGGGCATCTCCAAGTACTTGTACTCGTACCGTACAGTACCTAAGTTACCTTATCCTGTGATGGATGGTGCTTCCGACTGGGCGGCGAGGTTTGGCGGTTGCATCTATCGCATCCTCGGCGTCGGGATAAGGTTTTGCCCGACGGGAGAGCAAGCTGGGCGGTACTGCAAAGTGAGTGATGTGCCGGAGTGCGTCCGTAAAAATAATACCCAATAGCAGATACACAGACATGCAGCCTCTAAACAGTTGACCATACACAGGAGCTTGTCCTCCTACCGTACTCGCCGCCTCCTCGTCAAAACCTTGGCCTAAAACATCTGAAACCGAGCCTTCGTGGGAGCCGCCATTTCAACCTACATCATTATGAGAAAGGCGGTCGCGAAAAGTCTCGTCCGTATCAAATAATCCGTAACCACGAGTTCGGCCCAAGAACCGCTGTCACCTTGGATGTACTCGTACTGTACCTATCTGTCTACCTAATCGCATTACATCACGCCTTTGGTTAGAGAGGGCTATGGAAGGCCTTGAGTCTGCCCATAGAGTTAGACTCATCTTCTTCCTATATAATGAGTCCCCCCTCCCCCGGAACCTGCCTCTCTTGCGGTCCATGTTCATAAATCTCTCGTCTCCATCATACCCTTTACGGAGATAAGGCTGCCGTGCACTGTAGGGTGCTATATTGCAAAAGCGTATCGCCACAGTGCCCCCACCACTGTAAAACTACTGTATCCTCCAGCTGTCAGAACTCTGTCCCGACATGGTTCGCTACATGCATTCCATCTCCATCTCTCGACTCCTTGGGACAGAATTTCCCGGTTGCGGATCGAGAGTGAGTAACACAGAACCTCCACAAAGGCAATTAAAGTTACAGCATAAGTTACAAGTAAGCTGCCGGTAAATACCGATCAAGTTACTAAGGATGAATAGGGTGGTTAAATTTCCCACAGATTTCCACCAGCCACCATGATCCTTGTGGGGATCTGGAACGTCTCCTTCAGCTCCTCTTGACCCTGCTGGATTCGATAGGTGGTCGTAATCGGAAGGGCGGTGTTGATTGATATCTGGTTCGCTGATCAGCTGGTTGTGCACCCCCCCCCTCCTCCACCGGTGGTGGGTCACTATGGTCATAAGGTAAATCATAAGACATCTCACCGTGAACTGCCCTTTTGGCCTGTGTAACTTCCACCCGTGTGAGAGACGGATGGGGGCTACGGTAGCAATTCCTCATGTTCTGAAAACAAAAGTTTATGTGAATAAGTGAGGTATAATACATGTGCCTTTCCGAATCTAGCCATTCTCTCCACCATGTTCTACAGCCGCATTCGAAATTTTCCCATATCATACCATTCCTTCCGTCTATCCTGTACCCCGTGTACCACCACAAGCCCTCTGAAAGGCTTCGCTAACTATCCCTCCCTTTCCATCATTCGGGGTAAAAAAAAAAAAAAAAAAATTTGCGATGAAAAAGTTTGCAATGCCCCCTCCCCAGAGGCGTATCTAGAAACATCTATCTGAAAAAGAGTTTGTGCAGTTCTGTGGTTGCTGCTGGTGAATATTTTTCCCGGTGGTACAATGAAGGAGGGGTAGGAGATGATTGCGGGCGTGGCTGTGCAACTGATTTATCGTGAGGACTATCTGATTATCAGCCCCAAATCGGCTCATCATCCCAAGGTAGGGCTTTTGCATCGACGATTTAACAGTGTTGCGAACACAAGTCACGGATATATAACTCGTTCAGCTGAACCCCCATACTCAGCGCACTCTATGGACGCCCGCGATGGGACAGCCACAATAAGAAACAAATGAAGCGACCCGACACGGAAACTCCTCGAACAAACGAGAAACTTTGATACAGTATGATGCCTCTGATCCCTGGCTGTCGGTCAACCACATCCACACCCTGGGTAGTACAAGTACTCAAGTACAAGTGCCTCTGTCAGGGAAAAAGAAAAACACTGATCCTTCCCGGGATCATTTTGCCCCGGAGTCCGGGGATCACGGATGTTGCGGGCGATATTCAAAGTTGATCCCCAAGAGGTTTTGCCATATGGTACTGAATCAACACGACAGCTGATGCCAGATTCGAGCTCCAAATGCACATTGTGACCCATTTTGCCTCCACATTTCGCGCCTTGTGGGTTTAGTGCTTCTTGTGTTTCCGCCAGATTCTCGCAATCGAGTGATATTTGGTAAACAAACAAGCGGGAGGGCCACAGAAATATCCGGCCTCAGTTGACAGTGGTGAACGGCACGAGTACCATATGGCCCAAGGGATTGAGAAGTTCTACTGGCATCTGTGATGGTAAAAGTTTGGAAATAAGAAAGGGGCGGGTTTTTAAAGACCTGGAATTCCAATTTTCATGACTGTCATATCATACCATATCATACAAGTTCGACAATGCATTTGGATAATACTTTTACTTCCCCCCAATCTATATTCCTACGATACAGCAATTACCGTACCCTACAATTTTACTCACATCTCTTCCATAACAGAGACTTACGGGAAATTAGAATCATCCAAAAGAATTACAGAGGCGTATGGGCGAATGCAGTTTACACTTCTTCGGAACATGATGGACTTGCAAGCAGAGGGTTGCAGTAAAGTACTTTAGAAAAGCCAAACACTGATATCGTGGGAATTGAACTTTATCATACCCAAACTTACCCCTTACACGTCGGGTCGTTAACATGAGGCAGCAGGCTTGGTGTTGTACGTAAACTATCTATCATATCATACACCATTCCACTCGGGTAAGCGCTTTTGCCACCGCTGGTTGCCATATTTCCAACGACCCTTTCTCAACAATCTACCATATCGTACCCCGTATGATACCGGTAGCCTAAGCGCATAATTAGCCTCGCCGCCTCCGCCGCCAAAACTGCAACTCAGCCCAAGCAACCCTTCAGAGAATCTTCTGGAGAATAGCTAAGCGTCTGGAATACACAGTATTGTTCGGTCTTTGTGTCGATCTCTTGTCTGGTGCGTGCGGGGGGCGGCGTACGGTATCGGTGTGCCGCATGATACGGCAACCAAAGGGGCTTTAGCAATAGGGCGTCTCACCACGTACTCCCATTAACCCGTTCGAACCGTAGTATACATACCAGATCTCACCCTTGTCTTGGCAGGTACCTTATCATACCGCAGACCCCGAAAGAAAGCATTGATCACTACACCCCGCTGGCCAGGCAGAAAACTCCGAGAAAGCCATATCCTAGGAGACCTTGGAGCACCTATTAGTATTTAGTTCTTGGATTTTCTTTTGTACCTCTTTTTTCCTTGAATTTTGCCGCATTGGGAAACTCCAGTTTTGGGTGTGTTTTCACCTCCGCTTTCTCACCAATCATCGTACCTCAACTACGAGTGCTGTAGCATGATCACGCAATCACCATTAAATCCTTTAGCCACTTTTACAACTCGGGACAATGCACTGTACAAATTTCTTGTCACTCTCATTAAATGTCGCCGAATGCTGGGAGCAAGTAAGGCACAACCAAAACGAGGTAAAGCAAAACAAAAAACAAAAACACCTGGAGCGAATGTTGGTTCCCCTAATAAACGCCGTAACTTGCCTTCTCGGGTTGAGGATAAATCCCATGCGGCCCTCGAAGTGAATAGGACAAAAAAGACCAATAACTGGAGGGAATAGAGGTGAACGAGAGGGCTATTTACATGAATATATATATCGCAAAAAAAGTGAAAGCATCAAATATCGGAGGCGATGCAGCCCCAGTCCTCAAACTGACTTGGGAAGCTAATCATCGATTCAACAAGTTGAAAGTCCTCGTTGCCGAGCTGATCCCAGCTTGGATCGCAGCTATCCTCGCTGATTTCGACGAGATCGTGAGGAACCTCGATCTTAACTTTAGAGTATGGCAGAGAATTCCCCGACATCAAGTCGTAACTAGCGTGGATGACGTTAATATCCTGTTCACGCATGGGGGGGGAGCTCGGGGGTGCGGAAAGAGCGCCCCAGGCTTCCTCGGGAAGTTCGACGTTTAGTCTCTCAACTAGCTTTGCGATCCCCTGGAGTGCTGAAGTGCACCACACCCACACGCTAGTTAATTCTCTGAGGTCTTTAAGGCACTGGACTAATGTTGTTTCAACCGCGGGGGAGGAAGGCAGGTCAACGAGCATCAGTATTGCCATGGCAAGGATTATGTGTGAGCTTGTGATTACAGTGCGACGGAGAGAGTATCCTTCGCGGAAGAGTCCGAACACTTCTGCACTATCGTTGGCGGCCTGGCGGCAGATTTCACGCGGGTTCTCACCGAAGAAATTCAACTCCTTTGCGAAGAAGGGGCGGAATAGGAGACCGATGGTGCAGTGATAATAGAGACTGATGCGTGATGAGTCGATTGACATGCTTGTGGAGAAGGATTGAAGCTTACTGGAGTAGAAGCGTGGAAGGAAGAGAGGTAGCCTTTGGTGCCATGTCTTCCGGAAGCTGCGCTTTCCACTCTTTTAGTCGAGAATAAGTGGCATTGAGTATCTGGAGAGTCACCCTCTCCTTTGGAGAATACAGCAATGTCAATACATCCCCAAGAATCTCGGACACCTCCGCGAAGTGAATGGCAACGCCTTGCACTCGGCCAGATTGTGGCGTTCCGTGGGGCACTCCATGGTCGGTGTAGGGCTGCCAGGGCTCCGATTCAATAGGTGGAAATACATTCGGTTTTGAAATACCAACAATAGTCGACGGGAGTTGCGGAACTCGTCCAAGAAATACGGACCACATCCTACGATTTATCGTCAGGATTAATATGCAATGCGGACAGGGGTGGAGGTGGAATGTCTGCTGGAATCATACTTGTCGAGGGTGAAGCAACCCCAGAATGTAATCTTCCGCACTTCTGTCTCGGTAGGCGAAAAGCCTTGCCAATCAAGAGGTAAATTCAACCCCAAATCCAGCGCCATCCGAAACGCCCGTCCAGAGTACATCCATCCACTCGAGTTTCGGCCACACCCGGCCTCCCGTAGTGACATGAGGGCCAAAGCTTGAACGGAGGTCAGGCAAGGGGTCTCCCCTTCAGCCACTAGGATCCGCTTCGCCTCTTGGAAAAAGTGGTCTGCCATGACTGCAAGACTACCGGTCTCCCGCGCTTCCTTTCGATCACAGTAATGACACGCCAATGCCAGGATTGCGTTCACCATCAGTGAGCTGCAGTACTTGGTTCGGCCTCGGCTCATATCGCTCAAGAAGCAGGACTTCGAGAACAAAACATAGGAAGGATGGCACCAGGTGAAGTATAGGGACTAAAATGAACCATGAATCTTATCCACAATTTTGAGGTGTGAGGGAGCTCACCATGAGATCGGAAATAAATTCTATATCCTTGGTAACCCTGGTCCAAGAGCCTGAGCATTGTCGTGAATCACTACGGCCCACCCGCTCACCGTCCACCGAGGCTACGCCGGACCAGAGAACACATAAGTGCTTTGAGTCCCCAGTACGAAACTTCTCCACAATGTCGGAAAGGTCTGTCTCAGAGCCCGAATGCACCTCACAATCTGGCATGGCCGTATTCTCCTTTATGCTCCTCGCAATATCCGCCAGGCTTCCATGCTCACGTATGTGGCTGACAATCTCACAGACCTCGGATTCAGAGGCGGATCGTATAGTTGCCACGATGACATCCAGGGAGTCGTTCTTCTCCTTCAGCTGCTCGATGTCCCTCTTCAGTGCTCCCTTTCTCCGGTGATCTCCGTCAAAGTCGTAGGTGCATTCGGTTTGGTAGACAGCAAGGCATGTGGAACAAGCAGGGGACGCGCCATCGCACTAAGGATTTCCAATTCATTTGTTACTCTTCTCCTCATTACCTTGATTCCTTCCCATCCCCTCCCTTCTCCTTCCGGCTTCGAGAGTAGAGGGAAGAGTGGTGAAGAATTGTGAAAAGGAGAGGGAAGAGGCTGAGGATCCGCTCTGTGACGTACCTTCGATTTTCTTCTGCGGCAAGGAATACACGCACTAGACACGCAGCGTCGCTTTGCAGATCTAGCGGGTATGATGGAGTCGAGGGGAGGGCTGTTCCCTTCCTCCTGCTTTGGGAGAATTCGTCGTACCATATCAGTTCCTCCGGCTTCGCTAGTCTTGCGGGATTTGTAGGCTTGTATTTCACCTTCTCCTCCCTCCATAATACCTTGCTCTACAGCTCCTCCAGAATTCTCTGGCATTGAGCGGGCCCGGTAGTATATATAGCGGATACGCTAAGGCTTTTCCACGCCCTTGGAGCAAGGTCTAGGCAGTAGGGGTGTGGGAAGCTTAGAGGGGGTAAGCCGCCAAAGGGGTGCAGATGGTGGAAATGTATCTGGTATGCTTGTATCCTCCTGCACAATTCATAGCCCGATTGTGGGCCTGTGCGTGTGGTGATGGGAGGAAAACTGGGTTACCGCAGGACCTACTTGCTGGTTATGGCATTCAATTTGCGAGGGAGCCAAGGGATATAAAAAATATATATATTGAAAGTAGGGTGTGGTGGTGGTTGTGGTGGTGGTGGGAACTACAAAGTTGATTCAACAATGGGTACAGGATGCTTTCACTGTCGTTGACCGACAACGAGCACCAATAACGTCACCGGACTGTAGTCACTGATCGACAATACATTAACTCAATGAGTTTATATTTCTTATTTTGGTGGAAATGAATTATTTGGCTCTACGAAGGCTCGTCTTTCGTAGTGATGATTGCCGGTAACTGATTTTCATGCATGCACTTTTTCCCTCCTCTCTCCTCACCTACCACCATTGTTGTGTGGAGGGTGTGTAAACATGATACTATGGGGCTGGGGGGGAAATTGTCTACCAGTAGTATTGCACAAAAACCGTCAAGGAATTAATCATTGAAGGAGGAGCAGTCTCTAGCCCCGAGACATTGTGCTGGGCTCCCGTGCTGGAAATACGGTACTCGACTAAGGAGCACGATTGGTGTAGACTATCCTGAACACCCTAAAAAAAATACTCGTACTCGTGCCCCGTTCATGTTGACAGCCACTGCCAAATAGTGATCATCGCTGGCCAGAGCTAAGCTCGAAAATGAAAATAAAAACACCGGTACAAGGACAACCACCCCCCCTCATGCCATGCCAATGCTATCCTAAGGCACTTGTCGGATCACGGTTTTCCTTCCAGCGACCAAAAACAAAATCCGAGGGCATCAGGCTCGCGGCAACACGCGGGCCAATGCCTCGTGGTCAGATACTTTGTCCCAAGGTTCTCAGGGACTCATTTTGCGGGAGACGGTTGATATCGTATCGGAAGCTTAACAAGCTAACACCGGTAGAGCAAAGAGCTTCCTTGTCGAAGCTAGATCACCCCTAGCTTCGTTCCCTCAGTCATAAAACTCAGCTGGAGGTTGTTATTCTGCCTTGGTTTTCCCCAGCCGGCGCCTTCCAATAAGCTAGTCTACGGGCGCAGGGCATTCTACGAGTAATCATCATTGGTTTTCATCCTGCGGTGGGCAGTTGGATTACCGTATTATCTCTCCATAACCGTCATGGAGCCTTTCCGACCCTTGGATTGCCGAGTTTCAAATACCCTTGCACTGTTGAGACTTTGAACCATCACCCCAACCCCCCCCCCCGGCTTGAAGATCCGGAGAATGGTCCCTGATGCACTCAAGTACTCGTAGGCGAGGACGAAAGAGTTGGAACCCTGAAAAACAAAAAGCCCCCACTCTACTCGTACTGACAGGGTCGAGGGATAAGTTAGCAGTCAAAATACTGTTAAGCCATTGGTCGGAGGCACTTTCCACTGGGGGGATAGCTAGTTCGCTAGCGAGGCGTTCGGATTGCATATTGTGATGGGAGCGGAAGTAAAATATATATTTGAGTATATAAAGATATATATATAAAATAAATGAGGAAATTCCTTTCAAGACGCCTCGTGCTTCCCCAGCGCATCACGTCCGATAGGGTGTAAATGTTACGGTAGCTGTTCCCAAAAACCCGGCGATAGCCATCTGGTGAAAGCCGGACCCGCATTCCTCCCCCCTCCCTACTTCCCAGTCGCGCCTCTTGGCTGTGAATTGGCACCCGTTGGTCCTTTCGGGGTGGGCCTTTGGTGGCTGTTTCGGAAAGGGTGCAATTCCTAGCGCGGAGACACGAGTACCGGTACCGGTCGGTATGATACCGGTCTGATACTTTACTCGTAGGGGAAGCCGTCCTGGAAAGGTGGTGCATGACTCCCGTGTCCGTTCCAAAATCCAAGGGCTTGTCTCCTGCCTTGTTGTGTGCGGTACCCTAAGCACGCGCTCATCCAAAAATGAGCTATTGTTATTATGATAGCTCTAATAGAGAATATTATGGCCAAGGCGTCCACGCGCTCCAAAGAGTAATTAATTACTGCACTTGTACTCGAGAAGCTTATCAGTGACTTCCGCCAATCCAGATAACCGAGTAAATGAAGACAATAGGGTGACATATCGCAACGAGAGCCAACGGCTATCGGAAATCCCCCGCACTCATCCAGGATAACTCGTGTTATCCCCTGTAAAACACCTCGCCAAGGCTTCTTTCCTTATGCCCGTTTTCGGAACCAATTTTTTTCCCCCGCCTGCTAATTAGAAGGAGGGGGGCCTCGCGGTGAATGGGGAGGAAAGACTTTCATAGTCGGGTCATCTCGGGGGGGGGGAACATGTTCTCTGGTCACAATTTTAACTTCCTCAAGCGGCGGAATGGAGGGCGAAAAAGTGCTGGATTCCTTCCTTCCCCCCGTGTGAGGGCTACGGGCCCCAGGAGCCGATGTTGGAGTGGGGTAAATGTCAGAGAAACTATGGATCCAGCAGGGTTGGTGCACTCACAGTGTTATCAATCACATGCGGGAAGGGTGCTCGCTTGTGATCCAAGCTTTAATCTAACGTTGACCGTCCTCCTTTCATTAGTTGCCCATAGCGTCGGGTGGTTCTATCGTTCAGCTTCAAACGAGGAGCTCTCTCCTCAATGGTGGTGGTGGTGGTGATCTTTGGTAGTTGTGGTGGGGTTTAGGTAATTTTGGCTGTTCATGGTGATAATCATCAGCTGTCGCAATGTCTAGATTTGGTGGGAGAAGGTTGGAAGGGTACAACCACCCTATTATACCCGGGGAGATGCTTTCGTACAAGGCAGGATCTTTTTTTTTTCAGGTTAACATGAATTGACTGTTCACTGCCGTAACTCCGTTGCGGGTGCGGGTACTCCTAGCAGGCAAAGGGGGATCCGAAAACAAGGGGTCGTGAGTCTGCACTGTAATAGAGGCTCAGATACGCACGGTTTGTCCTGTCTCTTGTGTTTTGCAAAACCCTGTCTTCGGACGCTGCACTCGTACTTCTCGCCTGCTACGCGTATTTACGATTCCTTGTGCGAGTACCGGTACTAATGTATCTCGTAGGAATGAAAGCACCCTCACTATCATACCATTTTTCGAATCTCTGTTTGTCCTCCTCCTTCGGAAATCCTCTTTGGCACACTCACCCTCCACAGCTTCTTGCACTATGATGGGGTGAGTCAAGTAAGGGCAGTTAGAGGTGTAGTGGTTCGCCACTCCATTTACGAGTAATTGTCATAATATTATACTTCGCCTTTGAGATCACAATGAACCCCACGACCCACGAACACACCACCACCCACATCCGGCCCTTGATTCCACAAGTTAAAATCTCGGCGCACCGGTATCTCAATTCCCATGTACCGGTCGGTACGAGTACTCGAGTGAAGCACAAAAGGCTGAAAGAGAGAGCCTTTAGAGGAGGAAATAAAAAGCAATAAAAAGGGAAATCCTACAACTGCGGTTGAGCAGGTACTCGAGCACAGTACTATCCCGAAAGAGTACTATGCATAGTCTAGTAATGTGAGCCAAGCCAGTGTTAGCCGTCCGTGCTCCATGCAAAAAGAGTGAGATAAACGAAGAAGCTTGTCCGCCAATACGAGTACAGTACTGCAGCCTTAAAGCTATTCATGGCTGCAGATTTGACAGGTACTCAAGTATCGTGCCTATCATATCCTCCCCCCAGAGTCGGATTACCGGCACCGGACGGAGCAAAGATAATTGGCCTATTCGAGTGCGGTACTGTACTCGTACTCGTACTGGTCAAATTTTTTTTTTGTTTGGATGCGCGAGCTCAACTCGGCCTCGCGGGTAGGGTACCGGTATCTCTCTGCATGAACGAGGTATTCGTGTCTGTCACAGTCTGTGGGGCAAAAAGCATTGGCTAAATTTACTTAGTACAAAACTGCACCAAAGCCTTACCGGTATCGTACTCGAGTAGACTACGGTACGGTGGTCTCGAGTCCCCAGCCCCCTTCTTTACCAGGAAGAAGGAAGAAGGAAGAAGGAGTCGGGTGGCGCAATGGCGCAACCCGCACTGACCTTGAAGCGCTCCCAGAAAAGGGAGATACTAAAGGCTCGAGACTACAGGCCCATAGAAAGGGTATACGGGTCCCGAATCCTTGGCTCGGTGATACGCGCAGGTGGTGGTCATGGCTGCTATCGCTGGTCTAGCTCAGCATCTGCTCTAGATGTGAGGGGGTTCGGTCTGCCACACTTCGGGATCGTTGCGGTGGTGTACCGGTAGGGTATCCCTCTTCTCAACATTATGCATATCATACTCTAAGTACGGTATCATACCAAGGCAATTTAAGGTTCAAGGTGAAATTCCCTCCTCCATCCTTAAGTGGGATAAGGAAAAAAACCCTTCGTCAGCCCTACTAACGGTATCCATACCCTTCATCAATTGACCTCATACACACGTATTTTTTATTGGACTGGTATGGTGGCGTGTTTTGATTTCGTAGACCAGAGAACACCCGAGTACACAGATAGAAGTGTTGGTCATGCAAGAAATGAAGGCTAGACTCCTGCTATCTGTTTACTACCGGTACTGGCGGTCTAGGATCCCTCCCCCCCTCCCCCCCCCCCTCTCTCTTTTTTGGTGGTGGATCTAGTTGCTTAGCTATTCATAGTGGGTTGGAGTTTGACACACTCACCCTCCAAAGCTTCGCACACCATCCCGGTACCGGTAGTTCACCCAGGGGCCAGACCTAGCGCTTGTCGGGTGCGGACAAAGAGAATGAGAATGGTACGGTAGCACTATGATTGGCCTTGACTAAGGGGGAGTGAGTGGGTACTCGTACACCCACCGTGTTGGATCGAGCGATTTCCCCCGGCATCTCCATCGATGATCAGTTCCCATCAAGTATTGT